GAGTCCTAGATGCAATCAGACTCAAAGAAACACAGAGTGCATGGTCTGCTTATTTCTTGTGCAAAAGAAACCAGTGATATTCTTTGGTTGCTGCTTCTTCTCCACCCTGGTTCTACTTTTATCAATTACCATTTTCCATAAGCGAAAGAGAAGAAAAATTTGGAAAGCAAAGAACTTACAACATATACCATTAAAGTAAGGCCACAGAGAAGTTCTTAGTGAAATTGATCCTATTTCTGTCGGCATGATAGAAAGTCTGAAAATTCACTCCAGTTCCATACACTGGTAACTTATAGAAGACAATCTGAAATACTAGTGGTAACCAAGGTGATGACAATCGAGGTCTCTGAAGCGTGGTCCAAATGAATTTTCCATTAGGTGTTCACATTCCTGAATTCAGTTCTTGCATCTGAAGATAAAGGCTTTACCCAGAGAGTAAGCTGTGAGGATTATCTGATACACTGCTTCATTAAGTGTAATGAGCTGTTATCCATCATTCTTCTCTAGCTTTCTTCTATAAATACCAATAGATACTTATAACTAATTACGTAGAAAAAAGTGCAACTTTTGCTAGACTCCACAGCAGAAATTTACAACTCTTAACAGTGGATAGTCGGTGATTATTCTGTCACTTCTAACAAGGTGCTTTTCCCCTTTAGAAAATATGTAATAGGCTAAGTAGTGCTCATTCATCATCAGCTCCAGCACAGACTCTTAAGCACACTGATCCTAGTTTTTCTCAATGGAAGTAAAAATCATCACTTATAAAACATGGTATTTCGTGAGGCTCCTCTCATATCAGATCTGATTTAAAAACACAGAACTTCCATGACTCATTTCATGGGAAGATCACGGAACTAAGATTAAGAAGAGCTAGACCCAACTGCCTGTGGAGACAGCACTCAACCTCACAGTAAAGCAAATTCCTCTTTAGACAAAACGACAGCATTCTTCCTCACTTGGATTTTTGTGAGGCAACAAACAAGATCTTACATAGTTAGGAAAGCTAAATATTCTAAAATGATGTAATGTTTGTTTTATTATAAAGTTATCAAAAGATCATATTATTCCAGAAGACTTGCGCTCTCCTGGGGAGCTCCACTGTTCTGACACCATGTGAATATAGGCACCTCTCAAAAAGGTAGAGCGCAGCTCAGTCTGGACCTTGCAACTGTGCCTCTGGATACAATTCAGAATGTTGATGGTCTGAAGGAGTTAAAAATGTTTCCACTGCATCTTTTGAAGCTGGATTAAGTAAATTCTTAAATCTAAATTAGGAGTTTGACTTTAACTCCTATACTTAAGATTCGTTCAGTGTATTCTAAACTCTAGAGGAAGAATACCTGAATGTAAACCCATTCATACCCATTCTTTAGATTACTCAGCATTTAAATAACCACCCATTTTGCATTAATAGCTCATCACTGTCCACACTCTTCAAGAATTTACTGAGTCAAAGGAAAGGTTTTTTTGTTCAAAAAACCTTGGTAGGAAACCATCCTAAATTAAGGCAATTCTGATTGCTTTTCAGGTTTACCTATGTCAGAAGCCAAATTTCGTAGGTAATGAGAGATTCAAATTGATAATGAATAGAAGGAAGTTTCAAAGGTACTATAATGAGGTAACACAATTGGTCAAGTAAATGCAAAAATGATGGAAAATCGGTTTGCTTTTTGGCTGGTCCAACTCAAACAGTAATTGTGGTTTCCTATTCTCCTTCTCCACTGTATCCACTCTCCCAGCTTTGACGGTTTTTAAGCTTTTTATGCTTTCAAGTAATTTTTGTTAGTTCCTGTTTGAAAATTCCCATCGTTGGCCAAAAGCTATCCACAATTACAACTGGTTGTTTTAATGTTAACTATGTGGAAAGACGGTCATTTAAAACACCACCTGGCTGATTGTTTTTTTTTCCTTTGTGCCACATGGATTCAGATTCCAAAGTTTTAGTGAATATTCTCAAGAATTATTAGTTGAACAACTTATTGCCAACTTTTTGACTTCTTTTTAATATCTTACATCTTGAAAAAGGGATGCATATTCAGTCATAGGAATAACAAAGATTTAGAATTAAGGTTTTGCTTTTCTCGTGTCTCAATACTTTGTGCTCTGATTTAAAAGTATCTTGTATTCAGTTTGCCATTAACCTTCAATACTTTGTCTTGACATTTAGAGCTGAAGTTAAAACTTGTGTCCTTTTTCAAATCTGTTACCTTGCCATAAACTCGTCAAGTCTCAAACCAATGCAAACCAATGCTTACTAAAGTTGTTAGCACCTGGGAACTCATCATACAAGAATCCTTAGGTAAATATTTAATCTAAGTCATGATTGATTATACTTAATATTCAGGTTTATCCCAAACTCATTTAAAAATTGTCATTTTAAACTGATAAGCTTTTGACTGGGTATTTTCAGAATTTAGGACTGGGACTTGCTGGGGGGTGGGGTGGGGAGTCCTCTTAAAATCTAATTAATGTGCATTCTATTTTGTGTGTGGTTATTAGTTTGTATATTCAATGTAACAACCCTGTCTTTCACAAACAAGTCTGGTACATATGGAAAATATTACAATATAGCCATGGTGTTTAAAGATCCTCTGTAAAATTAGGTGGTCAGTACATTTCGACTAATTATTGAATTCTCAATGTAATTTATTCCAAATAAACTGGTTCATGCTGATCATTTATACTCACTAACAATCTGGTCAATTTTAAGAACCATAAAATATGAATGGGTCTGGTGTATAATTGGATTCTGCCCAATACTGCTTCTGTCCATCTTCCCAAACTGTGCATCCTGGATAACTTTCTGTGCAGTATGTTTTCTCATTATAAAATGTGGGTATCTAAACCTCCGAGTTGGGAAAATAACACACAAGTGCTTATCCATTGTAGACACAGAAGACATGGAATTCTTCCCAGGGGAAACTAGATTTTTCCTTACCACATCCAATTTAAGTGAAAAGCACCCCTTAGCTACAACCAGCTTCCAATAGTTACCCCGTGAAGTCTTAGCCATCATGTCAATCCACTTTGCTGTGAGAAATTACACTTACTCCCACAGCTGCTACCATGGCCCACACTGACATTCTCAATTTTAACACCCTCTGTAATATTAACATTTGGAAACTTCTTCCTCAACCCTCAAAATCAGTTTTGAAATCCTCAATGCCTTCCAAAACACTTTCCAGCCCCACTGGTATTACAGTTTTTATACTTTAATCTCCCTGGCAATCTAGGTACCATTCACTCAGCAAATAGCTATATACCAGACCATTACTGTTCCAGGTACTTGGAATATCCTAGTGAGAAAAGATCCATCCTCACAGTTTACATTCTAACAAGAAAAAAAGCACACAATCAATACACAACAAAGTGAAGGATATTACATTCTAAATGCTATGGACAAAAACAAGTGAAGCAGAGGTTAAGGGTGTATATGGTAGGACAGCGATGAGGGGTGAACATAACTGATAGGCAGATCAAGGCAGGCTTCACCGAAAATGTTTGACAACAGACCTGAAGGTTAAGTTGCCACTCCAGAGGGAAAGAACTAAAGGTTTTAAGGCAGTGGTACTGAGAAAAGCAAGATCAGTTCAGCCAGTCTATCAGAAAGGTGAAGAGGGAGTGGAGTTTGAGAAAAGCACTCTGGTTACTGCTGAAAACAGATGACAAGAACAAAGCTGACCAGTTAAAGAGCTATTATACTAACCCAAGCCAAAATGTAGTTTATTTTCTATGTTACGAAAAATTTCAAAACTTAAAAGTAGGCACAGTGAATCCTCATAGTTTCAAAAAGTTATCAATTTATAGATAATAGCACTTAGAGCCCCACCAGTGCCTTCCCTAACCCCACTTCAAATATTTCAAAGCAAACTATAGTTATTTCACTTCTATTTCTTAAAAACTTACCAAAGATTAACTCCTTAAAATATCTAGTTGGCTCATTTAAAATCAAGATCTCAGTAAGATCCATACGTTCCAAATAGTTGCTCCTTTTTTTCTTCAAGATCAGTAAAGCGAGAGGGCACAAGTAGGAAGCAGGCAGAGAGAAGCTCCCCGCTGAGCAGGGAGTCCAACATGGCGCTCAATCCCGGACCCTGAGATTATGACCTGAGCCCTAAGGCAGATGCCTAATTGACTGAGCCCCCCCAGGTAGCCCCCCTCTTAATATAAATCCTTAAAACATACCTTATTTTGAAGGCAGAGCCTACACTTCTCCAATGGATTTCATGTATAGTGTTTAAGAGAAATCAAAGTTTAGTTTTTTGCCTGAGAAATCAGAAGGCTGGAGTTTTCATCAACTGAGAGAGGAAAACTGGAGAAGGTGAGGGCAACCAGTATGGTAACACATTTCAAGTGTGACACATAGAATTAAGATTTTGGAAGGGTTATGTTTCTAAATATATCTATGACTAGCATGTGGGAGTAATGGCTGAGGTAGGGTAGAGTGTGAAGACTGAGAGCATCTTAGACACATTTATCACACACAAATTAACCCTATCACTTTGTCCCCCCCCGCTTTTCCCACAAGTTAAGGGTATACGGGCAAGTGGCTCAAGCACACTTACCTCACAAATATTCAAAATTTATGCCTCTGCAAACTTAGATACCTTCAGGAGCTCCCCCAAAGTTCTACATCCAATGATGAAGTCACATGCTGTTGCCTGTCACTGGTACTATATTCCTCTTGCCTGAAATGCCCTTGATATTCCTTCAAAAAACTAAAAGCCAATTCTCCCACAAAGTTTTACTAGAAAAAACTCCTATTTTATTCCTTGTTACTATTCTCAGCACACCACAATTTACTTCTGAATGATTTACCTGCCAAATAGTTGGGAAGGCTTATTGGTTTAAGAAAAAGTCCCAGAGACACCTAGGTGGCCCAGCCTACTGCTCCCTCTCCGGTCCCTCCCCCGTCCACTCACGCTCTCTTGCACGGTGTCCCTCAAATAATTAAAATCTTAAAAAAAAAAAAAAAAAAAGGAAAAGAAAAAGAAAAAGCCACAAATCAGTATAGCTTTTATTGCATCTTTAAAATATCACAAATAAGTCTGAAAAATCATCCGGCTTCTCGCTGTTTCTGCAGATGGACAACTGTAAGAAGGAATAAAAAGATCTATCAATTTCCATCAATACCCTCCAAAACTAAGTTCTTCTCTCAATAACCTAAAACATCGTTTAGATTACTAGTTTATAGAAAAAATGTCACTTTTCTTATTCTGCCATCTACTGTATTCCAGAATGTAACTCACTTTCTGCCATTACAACTCCAGTTTCAGACTCTTAGTAAATTAAGACCTCTAAAAATCAGTAAGGAAACTTACAGACACTGCAAGCACCTACCTCAGATCTTATTCATCAGCCTGCTGAACTGTTCCTTTTTCAGAAACATAGATACCATCCAAAAATTTTCTGATATCCTTGTTTTTAACAGTTGTGGCTTGCTGAATCAAAGCAGCTATTAACAGTAAAAAAGATAAGGAAATTACATTACCAGCCAAATTCATCTTAAAATAAAAGCATTTTATTATATGCCATACTTAAAACCTATTATCTTTGGGGTACTTTTTACTCAATTTCACAAATGAAAAAGCTCACCTAATGAGCAGAATACCATGTATTCAACTACAAGACTTAAACAAAATTCTATAGGCATAATTAGGCATACTAAACAAACCAACCTGAGTTCGATACAAGTTCAATGTCATTTCCTTCAAGAATTAACTCATCTTTTTGGGCTTGAGATACAGAACAAGCAACACCTAAAAAGGGGAGAAAGCATTCACATAGGGTAAACATAAAATCAAATCTGTACAATACTTAATTTAAAAACATTTAAAGTAGCAACTTATTCCATTTATAATTTTACACAACAAATGACACTTGTTGAGATTCTGATTTTACAGGACCTGACTTAATCTGGGCAAAATCTTGTTTGCGTTCCTGCTTGAATGAATCTTTTCCAGAGTAGTTAGACTTTCAGGGATTCAGTCAAGAAGTATGAGAAGAGGGGCGCCTGGGTGGCTCAGTGGTTAAAGCCTCTGCCTTCGGCTCAGGTCATGATCCCAGGGTCCTGGGATCGAGCCTCACATCGGGCTCTCTGCTCAGCAGGGAGCCTACCTCCTCCTCCTCTCTCTCTCTGCCTACCTCTCTGCCTACTTGTGATCTGTCAAATAAATAAAAATCTTAAAAAAAAAAAAAAAGTATGAGAAGACAGTATTCAATTTAACTGTCCACAGCTTTGTCATCAAGTCTTATTCCTACTGTATAGATTTGTTACCTCTCAAGTTTTTTTTAATAGAAGGGTTCCCATTAAATGCTGTTGACCATAGCTAATACCACAAAGTATTTTTGTAAACTCATTAAATGGTACTAAGAATTCCTTCTTCCTACCCCAATGGAATCAAGAAGCATCAAGAGAGCACCAAGCTTTAAAATTTTCTAATGTTGGGACGCCTGGGTGGCTCAGTTGGTTAAGCAGCTGCCTTCGGCTCAGGTCGTGATCCCAGCGTCCTGGGATCGAGTCCCACATCCGGCTCCTTGCTCGGCGGGGAGCCTGCTTCTCCCTCTGCCTGCCATTCTGTCTGCCTGTGCTTGCTCTCTCTCCCTGACAAATAAATAAAATCTTAAAAAAAAAAAAAAAAAATTTAAAATTTTCTAATGTTGGGCGCCTGGGTGGCTCAGTGGGTTAAGCCTCTGCCTTCAGCTCAGGTCATGATCTCAGGGTCCTGGGATGGAGGCCTGCATCGGGCTCTCTGCTCAGCGGGGAGCCTGCTTTCTCCCCTCTCTCTATGCCTGCCCCTCTGCATACTTGTGATCTCTCTCTCTCTGTTTCAAATAAATAAATAAAATCTTAAAAAAAAAAATTTTTTTTTCTAATGTTGGGGCACCTGGCTGGCTTAGTCAGTGGAGCATACGTTTCTTGATCTTGGGGTTCTGTGGAGACTACTTAAAAATAAATTTTTTTAAAATACGCACGTACAATTTTCTAATGTCTAAATTAAAAATATTTTTAATGCTTCTGTGTTTACTATGTATCAAGCAAGAAATGTTCCAAGTATATTTTAATTTTAATTCATCTAGACATGAGACGTTCCCAATTTTGGATGAGTAAAATGAGCTAAAAGTAGATGATTTGCCCAAAGCTGACAGAACTGAGATCTGAACCTAGGCAGTCTATGCTATTAACCACTATTCAAATTTTTTTAGGATTTCAGTTTGCAAAGAGAATTAAACATAGCTAACATCCCCTGAAACTAACATATAAGCCTTTAAGAATCACAATCAGTATGAATACAATACAAAACCTTAACACCAAGAGTTATTACATACATAATCAAAATGGACAATTCTGAAATAAATACGGATTTATAGCCAGCCCCAAACACCAGTCTTCATAGGTAAACATTTCAGAACCATATCTGAAGGTAGGCACATACCTGGCCTCATCCGAACCCTGCGGATATATTTTTCACCCAAGAAATTTCGGATTTCAACAAGAGAACCATTCTCCTGAATAACAACGTTGATGGGGAAGTGAGCATACACAGACCTCATCTTGTATCGGAAGCCCTATTAAGAAAACAAAGTATTAGCAAAGCTGACAATTTGAAAGACAAATCCAGTTTTTAAGTTTTGTAGGGTGCTTACATTATTTGTAGTTTAAAAATGAAACAGTCCTCACATAGCACTCATTGTCAAGATTTTGTAACAGTGGTCACCTATACCAGATCTTCCAAATTGTATACATGCTTCTTTCTTCAATAGACTGTCAAGTTCTTTAAGGAAGCATTTATTTTACTACCTCCTATGACCACAGTAAACAAAGTCAGCTTTTAAAAATGAGAACCCCAGGGGCGCCTGGGTGGCTCAGTGGGTTAAGCCTCTGCCTTTGGCTCAGGTCATGATCTCAGGATCCTGGGATCGAGTCCCACATCAGGCTCTCTGCTCAGCGGGGAGCCTGCTTCCTCCTCTCTCTCTGCCTGCCTCTCTGCCTGCTTGTGATCTCGGTCTGTCAAATAAATAAAATCTTTAAAAAAAAAAAAAGAGAGAGAACCCCAAAGCCCTTCATCTTGGGCACTAGACTAACATTTACTGAGTTACTAAGGAATACCAGTATACCACATGACAACTCAGACAGGCCCTCTGCCCTTGAGGAACTTAGCCTGGTAGCAAGAGTAAATAGGGGAAACATGACCAAACTGGCTTATAATGGAGCTGAAGGGTGCCATTATGGGGCACATTCTGAAAGGACTGAGTTTTAATATGAAGAAAAGCATTTCAGCAAAGACAGCAAAATGAACTTTATCTTAAAGGCTTGGGGGAGAGGGAATTGTAAAGAGAATAATGACAACAAATACACTTTTAGTCAAGTAGACAGGGACTGCTGAAAGGAGATCCAGCTTCTTCTGCCCCTTCAAGAGGCGCCTGTGGAGACCGGCATGCCAACAAGAAATCAAAGCCTATCCTATGTGCTACAAAACAACAACAAAAACACCACCACACATCCTACCAAAAAAACCGCCATTAGCCTACTATCAAGACCATCTGGTCTTCAGTCACATTTATCATTTACTCCTCAAGACCCACAGATGCCGATTCTACACTGCCAAGATCACCTTTCCCCAAATACCGCGGTAAACTGCAGGCAGAGTCTATGTTCCGCAGCAGACACTCGGGCTGCATGCACGCGTGACAGCGGAGGAGCCTCCCCTCCGGAAAGGAGGCAGTCTGCGGTCTGCTTACCAGTGTAACGCCCTTGATCATGTTCTGCACGTGACTGCAGATGGTACGAACTGTAGCCAGCTCTTTTCTGTTCCCCCACCATTTGTCAACTCGGAGCTGTAACAGAACAAACACTTCATATGACTCCTTCCCGTAATACGGATGGCTTGACAGAAAAACCCACTTACTCAGGGAATTACTCTGGATTCGAGCTTTAGCCCTCATTAAAGCAATCACGTCTGAAGCCCTCCGTTACTAGCTTTTCGGCTACTAGACGTCACGAAACACATTTCACAAGGGAATGCCAACCCAGAAATACTCATTTTTCAAGTTGCATCCTACTTCACTCCTAGAAAACTAAAATATCAGGTTTCCGAGACCTGCCTGGTCCCTAAGATTCCTACGGAACCAGCACGAGGACCCACTGGTGACAGTATCAAGAACCTGACGCTAACGACGACTGCGGTACTAACACTGAGCTTTATAACCAGAATTCGCTCTCCCGACCTCACTGAAGCAGTCCCGCCAACACTAGCCACACCATCCCACACCCGATTTCAAGCTAAACAAGGAATCTCAATTCTGTAATTCCGACAGCCACCAAATCCGGTGTTACTACAACCCTCCCTTCCACAGCAGCCACGGATGGGTCGGAAGAGGAAACAAAACACGACACGAGCCGCATCTCACCCTCTTCTTTTTCTTTCCGAGAAGACTGAGTTCTACGTTGATGTGATTGAAGTCCCTTCGCAGGGTTCCTCTGGGGCCCTTCACGATCACCGTGCGTCCCTTCAGGGTGATGTCGACTGAAAGAGAGCATCCGTGAGGCCTCGGAACCAGGTACAAAGCAGGCAGTAAAGACTAATAGGAGCACAAACATGAGGTCTCATACCATTCTCCGGGATGTCGACCGTCTGATTGCTGAGAATGGTCTTCATCCTGAAACACAAACCCTGGGGTTACGAGGCCGGCGCCGGGCCTGTCTGCAGCCACACCACCCCGCACGGAGCTCCGCTCCCCCCGGAGCCCCGCAAGCAGAACCCCCGGGACGGACACAGGACGACCCACCCGGAGAACGGCCCCCGCCGAGGCCTGGCCAGGAAAGGGAGGCTGCTGGGTAGGGACTATGAGCACAGCGGGCGAACTCCCGCTCGGCGCACCCCTAGCAGTCTCATTACGGCGGCGCCAGCCCGGCAAGGCTGAGGGGTGGGGGCAGGCCCACAAGCCCAATACAGTTCTCGAATCCCAAGGCCGCCAGATCCATATGGCGCTCGTCGCGCCGGGGAACGACCAACACAGACGATCCGAGCGCCAGACCCGCGCCCCGGGCTTTCCCCGAGCCGATGCCTTCAGATTCCCAAAACTCACAAAGTTCCGAGACAACCTCACCTCGCAGTAGATGCGGCAAAAAGAGAGCGTTGTTCGTCATCACGTTCTTGTAACCCGTATGGGCCCTGCGTATGACGTCATGAGCGCGCGACCCTACCAGGCTAAAGCAGCCAATCGCGGAGCAGCTCAAGTCCCGCTGGTTCTGTGGTGGCTCACGTTTCTCGTCATAAACCGAGCGACGGTGTGTTGATCTGTCTTTCCCAGGAATTAGTGATCCCTCGACCCTCCTAGGCAAAAAAAGAGAGGGATGTCTCTACTCTGCGGGGGCTCCGCCTGCATCGTGGGGCCCCGGGTGAGCGGCGGGGCGAGCAGGGTGCGGGCCCGGGGTGGAGGGGCTCCCAGCTCATTAGAGTGCCCAATAATAAGGCCAGCACTTACTAGCGTTTACTTGAGCTAGATGCTGTTCTAAAAATTTTCATGTAGTATCTCATTTAATTCTCCCGACACACGATCGTGTAGAGTCTCTGGTATTGGTTTGTAGGTCTCTCTGGCAGGCGATGAGGGCTCCCCTCCACCCCCGCCAACCCGCCCCGCGTATCAGAGTGATCTGAACCCTGTATTAGTTGGAGCATTATAGGAGCACGGCGTTGAGCATGCCAAATTTATGTTCGGGTCTGTCTTTGTATTAGACACCGGTCTGGGCAGTGAGAACAAAAGCCTGTGTTCTGCCTTTAGAGGCAGAGTGATCCAATGCAGTAGCAATACCGCAGCACCCCAACAGGCATTCTTTTTTAATTGTTGACGGTTCTCTTGTGTTGCATGTACTGACTCGTGAATTTTAGTGTTTTGGCTATCTTGTACACGTTCGTGTTCAGATCTAGAAACCAGTGTTTTCTTATGGTCAACAAATGGAAATTGAGCGACTACCGTGTTCAAACATAGAATGTAATCTAAAAAATTAAAACATTAGGTTTGGTTTCCCTCCTTCCAGCTCTCTAAAACCAACTGAGCGTTACCTCTACATTTTAACACTATGCCTATCCAAAGCCCTGATAGGAGAGACTTAATGCAAATTTCCTTTCATACGTCCTTGACTCGACTCAAGAGCGGAAAATGCAGAGCTGTGGCATCTCCAGTTATTGCAGTTTAAACTTTATGAAAGACAGACTGTTAGTAGTTAAGTGGGTTACATGAAAGTGTGACATGTTAGCCAGTTCCAAAGGTTTCCAAATCTGTTGTATCTCTAGCAGTAAACTGTTAGCTCCCATTCTCTTTTAGGTTTCCTTTGTTCTTGAGACTTAAATCCTAGATTCTGAGCTCATACACAAAGCTTTTAAATTGTTCGACATACTTTCTGTATCATTTCTCTGGTTTTACCCTCTCTTTTAGGTATTAAAGTAGGTTCAAACTAAGTTACTTCAAATTTCACTAAAAACATGTCCTAATGAACTCTCTTTAGATATTTGGAAGATACTTATGCAGTCCAGTCAGAGCAGTAAGTTCCCTGCCAGATAAAAAAAAGGAATTCTTACAAAATGGACCAGACCTTCAAGATTTTTTATCTGGTGATCTTGTGGACAAGAGCAAGTGGGATGAATATAAAGGAAACTTAAAACGCCAGAAGGGAGAAAGGTAATTGAAATTTTGAGATAAATTCCTTCATTGTGCATTATATTCACATATAACCAAGCTCTAGCTTATAATTTAAATCAGACTTGGCAAATTTAGCTAAAAATCATTAGAAGTGATACAGACATAGAACAGGTAAATAGCTAAAATTGTTGGAATCCTCTTCTCTGTGCTTTTTGATAGTTGTTCTTCAATCTTCCTAGGACTTAGCCATCCCATTGTGCATTCAGCATAAAATTTCTGCATAGAACAAACATTATCACCTTGCTACTAGTCGATTAGATCTTGATGAAATTTTCATTGTTACTGCGTATTGATGATCTAACTTGTTGCTTCTATGTACATATGTCCTATGGATACCTTGCCTTAATTCAAAAGAATGGTGAGGGAATTTCACACAGAGGGCACATTGTTCTGGGAGAGACCTTACCCAACAACTTATACTCCACAAGTGGATATAAGTCAAGGGGAACCTGAGGAAACATATTCTTCTCTCCAAATTTTAGATTTTTTTCAGTAATAACCATCATAAATCTGGAATGCAGAGCAGAAAGTACACTTGGGGGATCTCTCCTTTCTCTGACCAAATATAGAACTTTTTGTCAATATTATTCACTGGGGAATGTGATGTTCAGAAACTTCCTCATTCCTTCATTAGGATGGTTTTACTCTGCGACTTTGCAAAAGGTAGACATGAGCATATTGCTCTGTTAGACACAATTATGAGTGTGTTCTGAAGTGGTTTGAACGAGACTAAATTTGATTCTCTGTTCTTACTCTTCTGGCAGAAATTAGAAGAGTTAGTCCAGGATTATGGGGCAAAAAAAAAAAACAACTCTGAAGTAAGAATTGTTATAGAGCAAAGCTGCGTGATTATTTGGGAACATATTTGTTAATGGATAGTTATGTTTGGCTTTCCTCAGGTTAAGACTACCTCCGTGGCTAAAGACAGAGATTCCCATGGGGAAAAATTACAATAAACTGAAAAATACATTGCGGAATTTGAATCTCCATACAGTAAGTTTCAGAGTGTTAAATGTTCCTCTTAACTGAAAGTCATAGTGTTTCTGCATATGTGTTCCTTAAACTTTAATAAAGCGCATATCAAAAACAGCAAGGAAAGTGAAAAAGATATTTAGGGATGCATTATTATCAGGAATGGAAATATATTTAAAAAATGATTTTCCCCCAGGGCACCTGGCTGTCTCAGTCAGTAGAGCATGCAACTTTTGATCTTGAAGTTGTGAGTTCAAACCCCATGTTAGGTGTAGAGATTACTTTAAAATAAAATTTAAAAAAATTTTTAAGGACACCTGGGTGGCTCAGTTGGTTAAGTGTCTGCCTTCAGCCCACATCATGAGTCCAGGGTCCTGGGATGGAGTCCAGCATCGGCATCAGGCTCCTTGCTCAGCAGGGAGCCTGCTTATCCTTCTGCCTGCTGCTCCCCCTGCTTCTGTGCATGCTCTTTCTCTGTCCCTCTCTCTCTAACAAATAAATAAAATCTCAAAAAAATTTTTTATAGTCATTTTCCTTGCAAAAAAGAAACAAAAATTAATTGTATTTCTTAATTTCAGATTTAATAATACAAAAAAAAAGATTCTTTCCCCGCAATTTAGGAAATGAGGGGGTTTTGTGTATATTTTATATTACAAATTAAATACACACTTACTGGAAAAAATATAATGTTAAATGTGAAGCATCATGTATGCCGTCCCAAATGTTAACTACACCACTTTCATTTTTTAGCATATTTCCATCCAGACCTTCTTTGCACATGTGAAATATATACATTCTTTTTTTTTTTTTTTTTTTAGGTTTTATTTATTTATTTGACAGAGAGAGACACAGCGAGAGAGGGAATACAAGCAGGGGGAATGAGAGAGGGAGAAGCAGGCCCCCCACCAAGCAGGGAGCCCGATATGGGGCTCGATCCCATGACGCCACCCGAAGGCAGAGGCCCAACCCACTGAGCCATCCAGGTGCCCCATATTCATGTTGTTTTTGATTTAAAAATGGGATCCTAAAAAAATAAATAAATAAAAAATAAAAATAAATAAAAATAAAAATGGGATCCTAATATATATACAGTTTGGCAGTTTAATAACATTTTTGAATAGTGAATTTCTTCATAAATACATTGTAAAGAATGGATAGTTTAAAATGCCTGATCACTAATTTGCTTAGTTGGTTAATATTTCCAACTTGATTGTATTCCATTCCTTATTATTCCCAGGTGTGTGAGGAAGCTCGATGTCCCAACATTGGAGAGTGTTGGGGAGGTGGAGAATATGCCACCGCCACAGCCACAATCATGGTAAGAACAACCTCGGACTCAAAAGTTTTAGTCTAGAAGCTGAGAGGAATATTTTATGTCTTTCTCCTCAAAATGTGCATTCTGAGTCTCTGACCAGATTTTTTGTTACATATGAATTTATGAGAAATATGAAGGAAAAAAGTCTGATAGAATAATCTAGGCTGATGTGCTCTCATCCTTCTCTGAATAAATCTGTTTTTGATTTTTCCATATATCTGACAGTTAATCACGTGCTGCCTTGAGATATCTCCTCTATTAATTTTTGGAAATGTTATTCATGATTGCTTAACTTTTTCCCCCCTAAACAATAATAAGCATTTATTTTTCTCTCTCATGACCCTTCAGTTGCCTGGGGTACAGCTGATCTCGACTGGGCTAAAACTGGACTGCAGGAAGTAGGTTGAGGTCTCAGGGTTCAGGTCTGCTCCACAGAGCTTTATTTTCCTTAGATCAGCAGGTCTCTACACCAAATTCTTCATCATGAAGAATGGAAAGAGCACCAGAGGGCAAGCCAACCATCCAGGAACATTTGAGGCATCTCCTTGGCCATGGCTGCTGTCATTCTGTTGGTCAAAGCAAATCACATGGCCAACCTGAACAGCAGGGGAGGTAGAGACATAAGCTCCTCCCCCAGGAGGCGGGCCCTGCGAGTTAAATGACAAAGAGTGAGATATATAGTCTTAATACGGTGGAGTCAGAATTGGTACTAACTGTGCACTCTATCATGTTTATCCGGAGGGGTTTGGAGATTGAGATACTGGGGTTAAATCTAAATTGGGTACAGCTGAAAGTTCATACTTGTCTGGGAAAGTCTGAGTTATACATGAGGAGCAGGAGGCTATCCACCTGAGGAACCAAAGATTCTTATGAAACAGAGCTGACCGTGGAGCTTATCCAAGTTACAAAACCCAAGTTCTTGAAGGAAGGAGTGATTTTGAATACTCCATGATGGAAATCTCTGGTTTCATCCCTTGTCTGGCCCTTCCCCACTGGCTCATGACTGGTTTTTAGGAAGAGTTCATTGTTTCGATAAATCCCTATGGGATAGTGGAACCATAGCTATGAGTCCCAGCCCCCAAGGGGAGGGGTTAAATATAAAGAGGAGCTTTCAAATCTCAGCTCCAAATCTCAGCCCATCATTCTCAGCTTTGAAACTCCGGTGGCCCCAGAAGAT